AATTTACCTGTTCAGGACATTTCATATATTTGGAATTATGCAATATGTAGCCTTTAGTGTCTGATTTATTTCATTCAGCATAAGATTTTCAAGGTTTATATGTGTCGTAGCATGAATCGGTACTTCATTTTCTTGAAAGTTTTTTTTAAAATTGTAGTAAAATACACAGAAGAGAAAGTTTATTGTTTTAACTATTTTAAGGTATACAAGACAGTGGCATTAAATACATTCATCATGTTATGGAATCATCACCACTATGTAGTTCCAGGACTTTTTCATCACTCTAAGTGGAAACCTTGTACCCCTCTTTAAACAGCCCTTCCCAGTCCCTCCCCAGTCCCTCCTCCGCTATTCCCTGGCAACCACAGATCTGCTTTCCATCTCTATATACGCCTAGTCTGGATATTTCACATACAAATGGAATCCTAAAATCAGTGGTCTTTTGTGTCTGGCTCTTTTCATTTAGCACTATGTTTTCCAGATTCTTCTATGTTGTAGCATATATCAATATTTCATTCCTTTTTATGGCTGAGTAGCATACCATTGTGTGGGAATCCCATATTTTGTTTATCCATTCCTCATCAGTTGATGGACATTTCGGTTGTTTCTATTTTTTTCTATTTTGAGTAATGATATTAGGAACATTTGTGTACAGGTTTTGGGGTGAACATAGATTTTCTGTTTTCTCAGATATATACTTAAGAGTGGAACTGCTGAGTCATATGGTAACTCTATTGTAACTCTGTAAACAATTCATAAGTTTTAAACTGCATGCTCTTCTGAGTAGCGTAATAAAATCCCTAGTCATCCAGCTCCATCTCCGTCCAACATGTGAATCATCCCTTTGGCCAGCTGTATCCACACTTTATAGGCTACCCACCCCATTAGTCACTTAGTAGCCACCTGGATTACTAGATTGGACTGTGCTGGTGTAGAGTCACCCTTATTTTATTTAATAATGGCCCCAAAGTGCAAGAATAGTGATGCTGGCAATTCAGATATGACAAAGAGAAGCCATAAAATTTATGTATGTATACGAAAAAAGCAGTATATATAGGTTTTAGTAGTATCTGCAGTTTTAGGCATCCACCGGGGGTCTTGAAATACATCCCTCTGAGGATAAGTGGGGACTGCTGTACTCATCCTTGCCAATACTTGTTATTGTCCCTCTTTTGATTGTAGGTATCCTAGTAGGTGTGAAATAGTGTCTTATTGTGGTTTTGATTTTCACTTCCCTAATGACTAATGATGTCGAACATCTTTTTTGTATGCTTTTGGCCATTTGTATACCTTCTTTGAATGAATCCTTTGCCCATTTTTAAACTGAGTTATTTGTATCCTTTTATTATTGACTTAAAAAGAGTTCTTTACCTTCTGGATCTATGTATCACTTTGATCAGAGAATTAAACCTTTCCCAAAAGGCCCCACAAGCTAGTTCCCACAAGCTGTCCCCCAATTCTCTTTGGTCAGAATTGTGTCACATGGCCATGGCTAAAGCAGTCACAGCCCAGGGGAATGGAACCATCATAACTGGTTTTAACTCACCTCATGGGGTTGCAAGTAGGTCCAGATTCCAACCAAGCATATATCTGAGCTGACTAGGGTAAATATTTTACGAAAGGGGGTTTGTTAGGAAGAAAAGACTGGCTTTGAGGAGGCAACTCTATCAGTCAGAGTTCCAATCGGAAACAGGCAAAACAGGATCATGTAAAGAGGTTGTATTTACAAAGAGATCTAGGGCTTAGCAGCAAAGTGTTAGCACTGTAGGTCTGAAGGAACAAGAGTGGAGAGTGAATCTGGTGGGCAGACCGAAGATACCAGCACAGCAACCAGGAATGTCTATCTCAGGCCCCCCTTTCACTGTTGCCTTTTCTTGTGTGTGTTTTGGGCCACGGTTTTCTCTGCTTTTGCCCGTCACTGTTGACACATTTGCTTTTTGTCTTCTAAAACTTATCTGGTCTACTGAGCTCAGCTTTCTTCATTCATATTCTCGTGCTATCGTGGCTTTATTTCTTGGGTACCTCATCATCATTTCAATGGAATGGGGAAGGATGGGAGATAAACAAGTGTATGAAACCTCACATCTTGGACTGGAAACACCCGTCTTTTTCTATGAATATTTTAAAAACGTAATTGAACTCATTATATATGCAATTTTGTAGTCTACTTTTTTTTACATGAGCTGATATAAAAAGCATTTTCAAGGGTTAACATTATTTTTTGACAAAATTTTGATGACTAACAAAATTGTTCATCACATGAGTATACCATACTTATTTTATCAGCTCTTGCAACATAAACTTCTCTCTACACCCTTCCACCACATTTTGGATTAGTTTAGGTTTTATAAATTCTCCAGTATTAAAAATGAGACTCCAGTTAACATTATTATGCACAAATATTTGTCTGCAATTCAGATTATGTCCTCAGAATAGATTCCTAGAAGTAGAATTACCATATCAAGTATATGAGCGGTTTAAGATTTTTGAAACGCAGTGGAAATTTTTTATAATTTAGCAAGGTTTTTGCCAACATATAGTCTCACCAAAAGTGTGTTAAAGTGAATTTATCTGCACTCTTGCTAGCATTACATATTATGTTTCTTTAATTTTATATGCAAAAAGAGCATCTTATTGTTTTACTTTGCATTTCTACAAGTACTAAATGCAACTGATTTTTTAAAATTTGTTAAGAATATTTCTTCCTTTGCAAATTGTCTGTTCACATCGCTTGCTCATTTTTCTAAATGGAGGTGTTTATCTTTTGAATAGATGATTTACAGAGGGTTGAAATTTTAAAAGGTACAAAAGGGTACATGATAACTCTAGTTACTCATTCTGTTGGAGTTGGCAACCATCAATACCAGTTCCAGAGATAAACAGCTCATGTTTGTACAAAAACCTATCTACTTTTTTTTTTTTCACACAAATGCTAGTGTCTCATTCTCTGTGTCTTAGAGATCTTCTATTTTTAGCACATAAAGATCTGCTTCTTTCTTTTTACTGACTTCTTAAGGTGCTGTTATTTGGATGTACCATAATTTATGTGCCCTAAATGATAGAAATTTAGTTTTAACCTTCTGCCATCATAAGCCATGCTGCAATAAATAGCTTTGCACATATGAGTGTGTCTGTAAGATAAAGTCCTAAAAATGGAATTACTGGGATAAGAGTATGTGGACTCGAAATTTTTATAGATAGTATAAATTTCCCTCCATCAAGGAAATTTCCTCAGTCTCATCAAATTTTTATTATAAAACTTTTTGATATATGCTAATCAATTAAGTGAAAAACAGTAGATCATAATTTGAAATTGCACTCTCTTATTATTAGTGAGGTTAAACATCTTTTTATAGTTTAGAAGCCCTTTGTGTTTCTTTTTCTTTAAATTATCTATTTATATTCTATTTTTTGCATTGGTTGTTAGTTTGTTGTTTTTTTTAATATTGTTTTGTAGGAATTCTTTATAACGTAAATTGGTCCTTTTTGATATGGATCGCTCCATGTATTTCTAATCAATTTGTACAGAGTTTAATATATGTAAACCCATAGCAAGGCCCCCTTCTTTTCCTTGGCCTGGGGAATGGTCCGCTGGTTGGTATTCTCTTTATCTAGTCATCTTCAAGAGTGCTTGCTCTATTTTATCTCCTAATTCACCTGAAGGCTAACATAACTTACCGCTTCAAAAGCCATTTTTTTTTCCAAAAAAAAAAAAAAAATTTACATTCTCATGTGCGGTAAGCACAGTACTGTGTAGTATATTATTTACTTTAGAAAAAATGCATTCCTCTTATTAACATGTCTTTGACTCTATGCCTTTCTAAATAATAGCACTGGTCCTATTGGTTAAGGGTGCAGTCATCTCTCTCCTTGGCTGGTTTTTATTACAAAGGGCCCAGTATCTTAGCCATTCTGGATGAATGAGACATGAGAATGAGTAGGGTTAGATGGATGGCAGTAGAAAAAGATGAGGGTAGGTGAGATAGTAAAAATCTTCATTTTCAGGACTAAGATACTGGTAGAACTCCTCAGCGGAAGTAGTAATTTTCCATCTTAATGGGTGGAGATGATACTTTAAAACAATACAATATATATTATGACTCATGAGCTTATAGGACAAATACTGATTGGCTTGGAGTCATCTTAGGATGACATAGTTGCAATCATTTGCAATATTTTCAAAGGTTATATAGTGAAAAAGCTGGGGCTAATGACCAAAGACAGGTAATAATGTCATCCCAATTGGGGTGGGGGATCCCCCTTTTAAAACTATAGTATTAGTTACCTATTGCTGTGTAACAAATTGTTAACTATTGTCTTAGTTACCTATTGCTGTGCAACACAATAAAGTTTTTATCTCACCGTTTTCTCACATCAAGAATTTGGGAGCAGTTTATCTGAGTTTTGTTTCAAGATCTCTAATGAGGTTATAGTTAATATGCTGGGACTAAGGTCATCTGAAGTTTTGATTGTGACTAGAAGATCTGATTCTACAGTGACTTGCTCACATGGCCTTTGGCAGGAGGTCTCAGTGCCTTACCAAGTGGCCTCTCTGTAGAGCTGCTTGAGTGCCCTCACAATGGGGCTAGTAGCTTTCCTTGCAGTGAGTGATCTAAGAGAGGGAACCAGGAGGAAGCCACATTGTTTTCCATCTTGGAAGTCACATATTCTCACTTCCACCATATTCTGTTCATTAGAAGCAAGTCACTAAGTTCAGTCCACACTCAAGGAAATGGGAACAAAGCTCTGCTTTTTGAAAGGAGGAATGTCAAAAAATTTGTGGGCACATTTTAAAACGATCACATTCAACATTCCTCAAAAACACTTAACACAGCATCCTTTGACTTTTATTATATCGCTTGAATTACATGTATCCATTCATGCCAGAAATATTTATTGAGTTATCTGAATCACGAACACCATTTTTACCATCTATTACTGGGAACCGTTTTATTCTAAAGGGTGAAATCCTCCTAACAGTGGTCTTTTTTCCTTCTCAGGTGCTCGTTGGGTTTCTTTTTATTCTAGCAGCCATAGAACTAGCTCTTGTATTCACAGAAGACTCTGGACAAGCCTCAGTCCCCGCCATTAGATATACCAATCCAAGCATCTACCTGGGCACATGGGTAAGGCCTATCGCCACTTCTGCCTTGTTTATCTTCTCTCTGCTCACAGTCATCTCGCTGAAATTTACTCTTTTGGAATGAAATTAAGTCCAATTTCGTCTGCCTTTTTCAAGGGACCTATGATGAGGCAAAGCTCGATTGTAATGGGGTGAAACAAAGTTTAGCTTTCCATCTTCTTTTGAACATTAATTCAGAGAGCCTTCTCTCTAGAGTAAGTTCTAGCTTTAATGACTAAGATATATATCGTATGCCCTCATATCTTGCCATCTAAGGATCATTTGTAGAATCCAAATTTCTTAATGTAAAATAATTTTCTTAAATGCTGTAAATACTGTTTTTAAATTGATTGACTGTAGACTCTAATCAGTGGATCATTGAGTCTAGAGTTGTTTGCATAAACTTGATGACAGAGGCTAATGTTCCTTCAACAAACATTTTTTTGAGGGGGATACTATATAGTTTTTTAAATTAAATTTATTGGGGTGATGTTGGTTAGTAAAATTATATCAGTTTCAAGTGTACAATGCAATAATACACCATATGTATATTGCATTGTGTGTTCACCACCCAAAGTTAAATTTCCTTCTGAGATGCCATCATTTCAAAAGAAGAAGATGCCTCATAATTATTTGGATTTCCAGTCTTTTTCAAAAAATCAGAATGTCTGACAACTATGGGCCCACGTTCCCACAGGGCAATAGTCAGCTAGCATTGGGTAGCCCCCATACTGAGACAAGGTATGTGCTCAGTACAGTCCCCCAGACTCACTGCACTCAGTAACATGGACTGCCTGGCTCTTGTAGGCATTGTTGTTTTAACACTGTTATAAAATAAAGGAAGATCTTGGTGGTGTGGTGTGCTGCAGCTGCAGTGTCACAGAGCTGATTGTGTGCATCACTTCTCAACCCTGCATCTAGTGACATCATGTGAAATCCACCACGGTGGGAGTCTTTATACCACAGAAGTTGGCAAATGCTACAAATTATAGCTTTTTTCCCCCCCTTCCAGAATGCTGGTTTACTAATTAATTGATTAGTTAATTAATTTGCATTTAATTAATTACATACAGGTGAACTATTACAGGCAAGCTGTTTTTATTAATTGCTTCGTCTGCTATTATTAGAAAATCATGATACAGACACCTCGCACCTATTCAGCAGAATCTGCCTCCCCCAGCTGACAACTGTAGTGCCGGAGATTAATTTCCTTTGGTCTTGAAAAGGTTCTTCTGGCTCTCAAAATAATTCCATTAAAATTCAGATGGTGACCCTTTGTGTTCTTGGCTAACTCCCCACTCAAGTGTGGTAAATAGAGATGGGGTCAGTAAAGGGGTCCAAGGGAGAGCACGGAGGCCCTGAAAGAGAGTCGGATGGCATCAGAGAGGACGCCTACAGTTTGGCATTTGTGTTCTTGCTGCCTGGCCAGATTAGGTATAACAATCTCCTCCTTCAGCTCTCCTTTCTTCCTTTGTTTTCTGACATCCTTTTTGCCTCTTATCCTTGACCAGTGACAACATTTTTCAGAACTTGATGTGAATTTCTCTCTAGCTCCTGGTTTTGCTGATCCAACACAGCAGGCGATGGTGTGTGCAGAAGGACTCTTGGTTCCTGTCTTTATTCTGGATTCTCTCAATACTCTGTGATACTTTCCAATTCCAGACTCTGATTCGGATGCTGTTACAGGTAAGGAGGAAAGAGAGGGTGATGTGAGGAGAAACTGCCGGGCAACTTCTAAGTCAGAGTGAATGGCATAAAATAGGTTGAGCTGCAGGACTGAATTGTATTTAGGGGATTCAATATAGGATTTAATCACAAGTATTGACATCTGTGGGCTGTTTAGACTTAATTTGAATGCAAGACTCATTTTCTCTGTTTTGTTTTGTTTTTTCTTTTTTTTCTGTTTTGTTTTTTGTTTTCCCATAGGGCAACAATTCCAGTCTGGCCTACTCCTGCCTGTTCTTCATTTCTTATGCATTACAGATCCTGATCTTGATCCTTTCAGCATTTTCAGAAAAAGATAAGCTATCAGATGTAAGACTCTAAATATACCTACCTTGTGGATTATTTGATTGCATGGCAACTTGACAAATGTAACTTTGAGATGTCTAGGTCTCTTGGAAGTTCCCTGAGCCCAGAATACAATGGTATAGACCATTTTATGACATAAAGAAACAGAAAGCGACTAGTGTGGAAACACTCGCCTTTACGTTGACCCGCAGATCTTCGGCATAGACAATTAATTCATATATCTATGCCAGAAGGTCTGATTATCCCTCTACTAGCAACTTTGGGGTCTCCAAATAAATATATGTTGACCAGCCTACTTCAGTATCATATCTAGTTTCTAACACAAAATTATGTCAGTTTCCGATTTTAAAGTTCCATAAAATTCCTGTTTCCAATTGATTTACTTTCTCATTTTTTGTGTGTCTTGCAGAATCCATCATTCACGGCTTCATTTCTGAGTAGCATTACCTTTAGTTGGTATGACAGGTAGGAAATGCCTGGAGAGTGGGTTGTCACTATCCCTACCCCCTCAGTCTTCTGAAAGTGATGGAAACTTTCATTTTTAAAAATGCCTCCTGTGGCCTCCATTTCTCCTCTACTTAGAGTCAGAGAATGTTAAAACTTACAGATCAATTTAGTTGAATCCCTTCATTGGGAAGACTGGGGCTCTTGGTAACCTGAGGGTTCCAAGGAGAAAAGGAAGGGAAGTAAGAAAAAGAGGCAGTAGGACAGGAAAAGGGAAATGTGAGGGCAGGCAGTGTGGTACAGATTTGGAGGGTAAGGGATAGACTATCTGGCCTGGGCTCCCAGAGTATCTGGAGTAGATGTTCTTGTCCTTTGTAGTTCCATGGACTCTTTTGGTTATTAACACCCATGAACCCCTTCTCAGATCATGTTTTAAATGCATAAAAGACATATGATTATTGAGAAAAACAAATATATTGAAATATAGCTACTTAAATCTATTTTTTAAAACCAAAAAAGAAATGCTTCTTTATTAATGCATTAAATAACAAGATCTAGTCACGGGTCTAATGATGACCATAGTTTCAAAGTAGCGATGCATGTAAATAAGCCATGAAAACATCTGTGATTTCTCCTGGTGACAAAGGCATAGGTATTCCTTTTTACAACTCTGGTTGGTTGCCTACAGTTATATTAGAAGGAAAGGCTAAATATCAGTTAGAAGCTATTAAAAATAAAGATGTGATTTATTTTCCATTCGTGTTCTCAAATGCCAGGTTGAGGGGCTCTGACCTAGAGAGACAGTGTCGAGGTGGCCTCCAGATCTGCTCAGTTCTTTCAGGGCATCGTGGAGGCCCCTCAGGGAGATGCCAGAGTAGCAGAGCGGCAGCCAGTGTTTGAGGAGGAAGGAGCAGGGGGAGGTGATGCTCTTTTTGCTCTTTTAATTCAGCAGTACCCCTCCTCTTCCCTTTCTCTTGTTGTCTACCACCTTCTGCCACCCCCACCATATCCCTTTCTTGCTCTCCTCCACTCTTCTGTCAAGTTCAAAGGGTCAGGAGAGATGGGGTGGTGTGGCAAGGGAGAAGTCTGATTCTTCTGTCCTCCATCCCGGAACTGGGAGGCAGGCTTTGATAGAGACACCAAGTAAACAGCCTCTGACTCAGCCTGTGGGTCACTCTTGTCCTAGCATTGTTCTGAAAGGCTATAAGCAACCTCTGACACTGAAAGATGTCTGGGATGTTGACGAAAAGCTTAAAACCAAGATACTAGTCAGCAAATTTGAAACAGTCATGGCAGAGGAGCTGCTGAAGTCCAGGCGGGCATTCCAGAGACGGCAGCAGAAGAAATCCCAGTGGAACTCCGGAGGCAGCCTGAACGGCCTGAACAAGAACCAGAGCCAAAGCCAAGACGTCCTTGTCCTGGTAACTGTCCATGAGGGTCTGTGTGAATGTTCTTTATGTGTCGGACAAGGGGACATCAGTGTCATGGTGATTTTGTCCTCATATTTTTATTGCACTTTATCCTTTGCAGTGCATATTTTATCATTAATAGTATTCACAATCCTAACAGTACCTTAGTGATGAATACGTGGGGGTATAACGTACTCTTTGCTCTCCTTTTGGGTATATTTGAAATTTTCTATAATAAAATGTTTTTGAAAATAGAAAAATAAAATAATACCTTAACATACTAGAATTTGTACCTTGGTGGGAGTCAGCATTAGCAGTTAATTAATTTATTATTTCACTCGAAAATATGTATTGTGTGCCACTGTGAGTCACCGAACTCTGGACAAAGAAGGCACCAGGATTCGGTGCAGAACACAGTCTTACATTCCTCAGCTCTGTGGACACTGTCCTTTGGTTTTGTACCTAGGAAGAAGCTAAAAAGAAACAAAAGAAATCTAAGACCACAGAAGACTTTCCCAAGTCCTGGTTGGTCAAGACCTTCTTCAAAATTTTCTACATCATAATCCTGAAATCGTTGCTGCTGAAGCTCATGAATGACATATTAATGTTTGTGAGTCCTCAGCTGCTGAAGTGAGTTCATGGGCCTTGGGCTGTCTCAGGGCCTCCTCTGCCACTCTCCTTCTTGGCCCTCTGTATGCAGGCTGGAGCTTATTATTAAATTCCCATTTTCAAAAAATGCTCACAATTTTCTTTCACCTTACAGCATTGTGTTCTTGAAAAGCACACGACAGCTTTTGAAATCTAAGATGATATGTCCTTTAGGCTCTCTCTTTTCCACACCCGTCTGCTCCCCCACCATAGGAAGCCAGACACTTGGTAGGGGCTCTTGTTTGTTAAACAGGACTGTCGTGGGCTGAGCCCCATCCAAGAGGTGGACAGCATACCCGGGGAGAGCCTTGAACCTGGTGTCAGTACCTCCTGGCTCCTGGTCACGGCCTTCGGTGGGCAGTTCAGGATAACCATGACAGGACGTCTGTCTGCTGAGGTCTATGGAATGAACGATCCTCCAGTGGAAGCCCTACTAACTCATGCTAGACACATCCTAAGCTTGTCCTAAGCTCTCACTGCTCGTCTCCAAGCCAAAGCAAAAGTGCTAGTACACTGTAGCGCTCAGCCTTCCAAAAACACCAGACAAATCTGGTCACTTTTGTTACTCACAGGGTGGGGTAGGGTAGCGGGCTATGCACGAGGAGTGTGAGGACCCTGTAAAGGCTTGATGAGAATCACTTGGTTTTGCTCTGGTAGATTGATGATCTCCTTCGCAAATGACCGTAACACCTACGTGTGGGTTGGATATATCTATTCGATCCTCTTGTTCGCCGTGGCCTCCATCCAGTCTATCTGCCTTCAGTACCATTTTCAACTGTGCTTTGTTCTGGGCCTAAATGTACGGACAATCGTTATGGCTGCTGTATATAAAAAGGTAAGTGGACTATCAGGTATCGCCAAAGAAAATCCCCTTAGTAAACGTGACCATTTATTCCAAGATTGAAGAAAATTTGATGGAAATGATCATTGACCTCAACACTTGGTTTTTGACTAACCATACAGCCTTCTTTAGATGGAAATTAAAATACAAAAAATGTGTATATAGACATAAGGTGTAGGAGTGGGGTAGGAGGGAGCATGCACTCCAGGGAAAAGCTAGCAAACCAATCTCCCCCCAGGATTTGCCTTTTAGCCTTGAAAGCTTGCATATCTGTCCTTCTCTTCTACCTCTCTTGGCAAGGTGAAAAATGCCTTGGGAAAGAATGTAAAGTCAGAAAAGAAGCTGGCTAAGGGCAGATTCTTAAAACCACCAGCACTTAAGTCTGATACTACATGAAACTGCACTCGTAGGATCTGGTGCATCCATCTCAAATTACTATTTTACCATAGTCTAGAAGCTCTATGAGCCCAAGGCTCCATCTCCCCAGACCCACTTCTTCCTAGAGACTTCTTTTCCTAAATCTTTAGTGGCTGACCAACCCCTCTTCTGCCTGATTCCTTTTTTGATTTGTAAATATATTCACTCTGCTTATGGAGTTCTGCAGACTTGGGAGCTCTCCATTTTCTTGAGATGATTTTGCTCATCTTCCCTCTGATATGTTGCTTTAATGGTTAACTTTCTCAGGGCATCTGTATTTTCTGTATCTCTTAGATACCAAGATGAAGTTTCATTTCTTCCCTTAAGAAATGAAAATAGAGTCAATTACATTTCAATTAAAAAGAAAGAAAGAAAGAAAAAGAAATGAAAAATAGAATAGTTAGGATCAGTGACTATAAGCCTAAGGAGCAAATTCATAAATGAAGAGATAAGAATTTTTATAGGTCAGAACATCAAGCAATTGCCCTTTCTTCTTTTTCCTCTACCACTGGAGAGTTCCATCACAGTGATTTCTCTATTACAGTTTCTGGTTTTCTCTTTTGCTTTCCTCCCTCAAAACACTGATGTGTCTGTCTTCTCTGTGTAGATGTTGACTTATCAAAAGAGACCAGACAGGTAATCCGAATGTCTTCAGGTCAGAAATCTGGTCAAATCCTTTAAACTCTCAGAAACCCTTACATTGAAATTTGTCTTTCCTCAAATTAATTTTTTAATTACCTTATTTCTTCTGGAGATATTGGATTTCTGTTGGTTTGCAGGATATGGGGTCACTAACCAGGCTGTCTCAGTCATTTCTAATGAATGTACGCTTTTTTAATTGTGATGTTTTGTTCCCACTATTTTGATTCTTAACAGTTTTTGCAACTGTTGCATATATAAGGAATTTGTAAAATAGAACCCTTAATGAGGCCTTCATTTACATAAATATTGCTACTAAAATAGAATCTAAAACCAATTCCATATGTTTAGACAATGCTTCATTTATGAAATATTATTAAACATGTTCACATCTATTATCAATCCATAGCCCTGTGAAGTAATTGCATTATCCCCATTTTACAGAGAAATAAGGCTTAGCTCGTTTCAGTGCCTACAATTACATAGCCAAGAGCTGTGCCTAGATGAAGCCTATTGGGACTAGATCAATTACTTTTCCACTTTACTGAGATTTATTAAGAAAAGAAAACTATAGCAATTACCCTGAACATGTTACTTTGTTGTGTTTTGTTTTTCCACACCAAAAGGGAGGCAAAAAGGTGGACTGATGTCTCTAGAACCTTGGTGGCCTAACATTTTAGGAAATTTCTATTTTTACTGTATGACCAAGAATCCTGATATGTTCCAGAGAAAAAAATGTGTTGGTGGATTAAGATGACAGTAGAGCTTCTAGGAGAACTGAGGTGAATGTCTAAGGACACTCGTAGCCCATACACTGTCTTTGTGGGAACTAGAAGAAAGTTTTCCTTCCTCCAGGAAGATGGAGCCCACACCAACGGTGCTTTGGTGAGCGTAGTGCAAGCCAGTTTCAGTGGCCCCCAACCCAAGTCCCTTAGCAGGGTGCATTATTGCAAGGCACTGTTGATCAGCCTTCTGATCTTTTTAACATGAGAATAGAAGGCCCATACATAACATTTAGGTATCTAGACATTGCTTGAAAATTCCTGATAATAAGAAAGTCATTTTGCTTCAAATGTGGGAACCTGCAGTTTTCCTCTCTATTCTAAGATCTCGGTCTTTCCTGGGAATGGCTGCAACCTCCTCATAAGAGTATGGCTCCAAATAACATTGCCGTATCAAAAGGCCGCAAGGCCAGAATCAGCAGATGCTTCCTCTCTTCATCCCTCCATTCATTCCATCCCTTAGTACTTGATCCCCTACTGTGTGCTCTATGATACAGTCGTGAAATGGACAGATGTAGCCCTTGTCCTCACAAAGTGTACATCCGATAGGGAAATAGAAAAACAAGACAAGTACAGCTCAATGTGATGAATGTAATGGCTGAGATAAGCACAAGATGTTATGGGGGTACACAGGAGGGGTATCTAAGATTGAGAGTTAGGGAAATCTTTTCAGAAGAAGTTTCATCTACGCTAACACTAAAGAATAAGTAGGAATTTTCTGAGCAAAGAAGTTGGGGTGGGGCGTGTGGGATTGGAGAAGGTGGAAATAGCAAGAAAGAGTGGTCAGGATGAGAGAAGAGTGTATGTAAAATTTGGAGGCAAGAAGACACAGCCCCTTGAAAAAGTTGTGTCCATGTGGAGCCCATCCTTTTGCTGTAGTCTCATTTCCTGAGTTTCCCCTGTTACTCCCCAGGATCCTTGTCCTTGTCCATGTATTCTAATGCCAGTCTTTATCCTTAGGCACTGATCCTATCCAACCGGGACAGGAAGCAGTACACCATAGGAGAAACAGTGAACTTGATGTCTGTGGATGCCCAGAAGCTCATGGATGTGGCTAACTATATCCAAATGCTGTGGTCAACTGTTCTACAGATTGCCTTTTCCATTTTCTTCCTATGGATAGAGTTGGGACCCTCAGTCTTAGCAGGTGTTGGGTTGATGGCAATCCTAATCCCAGTTAATGCAATATTCGCCACCAAAAGTAGGGCTATTCAGGTAAAGAAACAAAGTCACCCTGGGGATATAGACCTTCTTCAAAGTCTAAAGTCTTTTTCTTATTTTTTTTCTAACTCTTGTGGGAGTGTGGGCAAGGCAAAGCTGATGGAAGTCCTTCTACCATTCCAAATTAATTTAGCTTTCTTTATCTTCCCTTTGCATCTTCTGACCACTCTTAATGTTTATATACTCTATCTTCATTCATGTTAGAGAGAAGAGCCTGCTTGGAATGAGAAGAGCTGTCCAGGGACCCTGAGCATAACTCTTCCACCCTCTCCACTGGGCTGTTCTTAGAACAGTGATTATTGCCCCTGTTTTTCCACCATAGCAATACAAACCAATACAAACCTTGGAGGGCAGTCACACGAGTGGCCCAAACTTTAAGCCTAAGTCTTGGCCATCGACCTTGCTACACAGAGAATTAAACAGGCTGATATGACAGCGAGTTAACTGGGTGGTGGTTTTAGATTATGGGGTCAGGAAAAGCCTCTGTGAGAAGGGGACATTTGAGCTGAGCTCTGAACAACACAAGCCTGACCATGAAGGAGCAAGCCTTGAGAAAAACAACCTGAGAAGAAGGCATAGTCAGGCCAAGACTGTAGGGGGCAGAAATGGGGTTGGCACATTCAAGGATCAGAAAGATGGTGGCTGTGTTAGAGGCAGAGTGGGCAAAGAGGAGAGTGGGAGAGACACATCCCATCACTGGGCACCTCGAGTTCTTACCAAGTGGCAGCCACAAGTGCCACTATGAGCGTCTGCAGCAAATCTGGATCTTCTCATGTAAAAGTGTGTTTTGTTTTTGTTTTACTTTTTCCTGGCAGGTAAAAAATATGGAGAATAAAGATAAACGTTTAAAGATCATGAATGAGATTCTCAGTGGGATCAAGGTGAGACACCAAGCCGTAGGTAGCCCTCTGTGTGCAATGACAGCAGCAGACCTTAACAAACCCTGATAGAGGCTGTGGACTCCTGCTGCTAGGCCTGTGTGGTGTCACATGACTCCTGATTCATTTACCCACAAGTCTCCTGTTGTTTCTCTTACTACCCCTCTCAGGCCCTCATTTGAACTTTTGTTTCTATTTATTTACCTTAAATGATTTGTTTTGTTTTTACATGACCTTATAAATTGTCAAATCTGCACAGAAGTAGACAGAATGATATAATGAACCCCCATGGACACCAACCAGCTCTAGCAATTATCAGCATAACCTAGTTTCATTTCTACTCCTCCGCTTCCCACTTCATGTTCTGCTAGATTATTTTAAAGAAAATCCCAGATTATGTTGTCATTTCATTAGTAAATACTTTGTATATATTTCTCAAAGACAGACTTTGTTTTTAACATAACCACAATACCATTATCACAACTAAAGAAATTAACAATCATTCTTTGGTACCACTAAATTTTCCTAATTGCCTCATCTCTCTCTCTCTCTCTCTCTCTCTCTCCCCACCCCGCCCCGCACACATGCGCATGCATGCGCATGTACACACACACACACACACACACATACACACACACACACACACAACTGTTGGTTAGTTTGAATGAGGGTTCAAAAATATTCACACATGGCATTTAGTTGACAGTGCTTTTACTCCACAATAGTACCTCTTCCCCTGCCCCTCTTTTTTGAGTCATATTAGAGAAACTAGGTTGTCTTGTTTCATGAATTTCTTGTAAATTGGTACTTAAGCCTAAAACTTGATTATGTTTTTAGGCTTGATGTTTTTTGGACGGGGTGGGTAAGGATGTTTCAGGTGATGCTGTGGTGTGTACTTTCAAACATTGGTGATGATGTGTAGGCAGAGGTCCAGGAGTTGTTAGCCTGATTTATCCCTTATTAAGTTTCCTGCCATTCTTTCACCTAGAACAGTGATTTGTGGCCCTGGCAGCACATTTCGATCCCCTAGGAAGTTTGTAAAACCCACTGAAGTTTGGACCCTACTTCAAACCAATTAAATTGGACTCTCTAGGGGTGAGCTTTAGCCATATAGTATATTTTTAAAACTCTCTAAGTAATTTTAATATGTGGCTAAGGTTGAAAAACCACTGTCATAAAAATTTAACAGCCACTGCTGATCATTGCCTTGATCTATTATTTCATTAGGAGTTACAAAAGGGTGATATTTTAATTCCATTAATCCTTTGACATTGATAAGCTGGAATTCTATAAAGAAGAATTATCTCAACTAGTTGATTACCTTAAAATAAAATTCGTACAGGATAGGAAGGCTAAATGCTTTCTTCTTTTCTCTATTTGACAACTTTTAAAATAATGCATTTATTCTCCAAAGGTTACCAATAAGACTATGAATATATGTGTGTGTGTGTATACATATATGAATATATGTGTGTGTATATATATACACATATGTATATATATGTACATCTATACACACACACATATATTCACATATATACATATGTGTGTATATATACATATATATACATACACGTGCATATATACATATATATGTGTATATATAGGTATATATACATATATATATATTTTAAACTTGAAAACATTTTTCCCCACTTTAATTCCCCCAATAGATAGATAGATAGATAGATAGATAGATAGATAGATAGATAGATAGATAGATTTTGCATTACCCTAAACTTCTTGAAAATGAAATAGAGGCCCCTTTTAATGCCCTGATATTTCTTCACACAGAACTTTGATATGCTTTTCTGCTAGTGTAGCAAAATGACTAGACCTGGTTTTGAATCTCGGCTCTACCACTACCTAGCTTGGTGACTTTGGGCAAGTTACTTAGCTTCTCTCAGCCTGTTTCCTTATTGTTAAAATAGATACAATAATTCTACAAAAGTAGGGGACTAACTCTTCCTGGTTTATCCAGAACTTTCCAGGTCTGGCACTGAGAGCCTCATGTCCTGGACAACTCTTAGTCCCAGGCATACTGGGACAGTTGGTCGCACATAGACTGTTACAGGAATTAAGTAAAATAATGTGTTTAAAATGTTTTATCCATAGTAGATTGTCAACAAACACGAGCTACCTCTCTGTAATCATACTTTACAATATGGATTTCTACACCCCTCCCCTGCTGATTTTGGGGAGCATATTCTAAAAATAGAGGGATGAGTGTCCTTTTGGGGCAACAGTGTGAACTGTGCTCTTTTCTATCCTATTAGATCCTGAAATATTTCGCATGGGAACCTTCATTCAAAGAAAAAATCCATGACATTCGGAAGAAAGAGCTTAAGAACCTGCTCGCCTATGGGCAGATGCAGGCTATGATAATGTTTTTCTTATACATAACTCCAGTCCTGGTGAGTGACATGAGTCAGTGGGCTGGGTCAGCTTCCTGAAGACAAAGGGTTGTCCTGACAGACTGCCCAGCACCTGTAGGCCTGACCCCAAAATCTAGGGGACTCCACCCCACTTTTTAACTCTCTAGACCGTTCTTCCTACCCCATGCCCCCAACTCCAGTTCCACCCTTGTGTACAATTTGGTGGTCTGAGAGCCCAGAGCAAGTTGGAGGATGTTCAGCATGAATGTGGTATCCAGGAATGATTTGCAAAGAAGGGCTTCTCATCTTCTTGGGGAGACCATCTGGGTCGATAGTGGAAGAAACACTGGTACAGGAGCCAGGAAACCTGAGCTCTGGTTCCAGCAATGCCATTAATTGACTTTATGAATCAGGCAAGATATTTCCTTCTTTTCTGGCTCAAATTTTTCATTTGCAACATGGGAAGGTTGATATAATCCCTAAGACTCCTTCAACTCTGATATGCTGTGTTTCTGAGACTTAGTACAAGGCTGCTTGAGCCTTTCCTTGTAGGACTAAATTGCTCACGACCTTGCTTTTCCAGGTATCTGTGGTCACATTTTCAGTTTACGTCCTTGTGGATAGCAATAATATTTTGGATGCAGAAAAGGCTTTCACCGCCATCTCTCTCTTCAATATCCTACGCTATCCCATGACCATACTCCCAATGGTGATCTCCTCTGTACTCCAGGTACGTAGGACTTTCACTGTTAACTGACTGTCTCCAATTAATTATCTCTGATTTCAGAATTACTGGCCTATCATATCTCATTTCTAGCTTCTGCTGGTGAACTTTCAATTAGAAAGATTTGTTGGTCTCTGGAGAACAATGGTTTGATCTTAGTAAAATCACAAGCTCTCTCTGAGCCCATTTATACGACGATGCTTATAAAAGCATTTATGATTGACCCTGGTACTTGGAACATTTCTAAGCCCTTTTCCAAGCCTAGTTTTCTTTACATTTTCCCAAGGCTGTTGAAGGATTTGTATAGCATTAGAGAACTACGGCATGAAGGGAGATAAAAGATCCTCTCTTTGTATTAGTCCACGTGGTGGTAAAACTGAAGGCAATTTGAAAGCCTCAAGCTGTCAGAAAATGAGTTTGGAGTTCAAGAGGCTTTGGATGGGCCGGGGCGAGTATCTGGCTCCTAAAAACTGAGCATGGTCACTGAGATGGACCAGGCACCAGACCTCAGGGGGAAGATGACAGAGCAGGTGGCAGACTGGTGAGGTAGCCAGGATGACAGAGTGTGGTGATCGGCATTCATCTCAGAGGTGGCTCACTTCAGACAGCTCAGGCCATAGGAAGGGCTGGTGTTTAGGAGAAGGCCCGCCTGTTCTGGAGGGTGCTGAGAAATTCAGTTTATTACATGGCAAAACAAGATCAACAAAAGTGTCAGCTCCCTGCATTTCCTGTCCCACAAGATGACATTGAAATAGAAGGGGCCAGATGGCAATGCGACAGGGCAATGGGACACTCTGTTTCTCAGGAGCCGGTCCCTGCAGCAGCTAGGCAGTGCATAGTCCGCAGTTACACTCTAAGGAGAGGCAGAAAGCCTAATACTCATCGGAATCCAGTTGGTGACGAGAAATCATCTCGTGACAGCCTCCCTGGAAGACAGGGAGGCAGGTGAGGAACATCCTTGTAAAAGCTCCTGGAAATCTTCCCAAGTTCCCATGTCCCAGGAGCAATACAGGGTGTTCTGCCGATATTTAGATCAGCTGCAATTTAAGCTTGGCCTGTGTGGAAGTGTGCCATGGCCAATTCCTCTACAGAGTCCCAGTAGTGGCTCAGTTAGGACACTGAATGGGTCATCAAGGCATGAACTCAGTGAAAGAGCATGCTAGGGGCCTAGTTGCCAGAACCGGATAGAAGTTAGGGTTTGACCTAAGAGGAAGGCAGGAAACGGTTTCTGGAAATAGGTCCAAAGATTGGAAAGAGCAGTGGAGTTGCTCCCCCTGCCCCAAGTTTTCTGAAGGGCTGAAACAGAGCTTCTTAATTTGCCTCTGTCCAGAGGGATGGGCTGGCTCTCTCATGGCCGAGATGTGCCTGAGTTTGTGGTAAGTATCGGGAGGTTCCAGCTTTGGCAAGTGGCAAATTATGGGCAAGAAGCCTGGCAGGTTGACTGTCTTCTTCCACATTTAAGGCTGATGGCAAAGTCAAAATCCTCTCCCTGCTTGTATTGGTCATTGGATTTTTTATTCTTGAGATTCTTTGTCCTTCTCTAGGCCAGTGTTTCCATACGACGGCTGGAGAAGTACTTGGGAGGGGATGAGTTGGACACATCTGCCATTCGACATGACTGCAATTTTGGTAAATGAACTTGGAAGTTTCTTCCCAAACTTATTCACAGTGCTTGTACCAGAACTTTGATATACAGGGCTCAGCAGCAGCAAACTGATTGAAAGAGAGAGTTTGGGGACTTACCTTGAACCTACCTTTACATATAAGCATACTGTGTTTACTTTAAGTTACGTTTACACTCAGAATAGATTGCTTAGCCAGATTGCTAGACAAAGCTAAGTCAGCCGTTCTGAGAATAAGCAAGAAATCCTGCAAAAGGTCTCAAAAGCAGAAATCAGGATGGAGCTGAGCATGCGGAGCTGGGAAGATAGGCTGGAGCAAAGAAAAACACAGGTTCTGGAGGTTTAAGTGTTTAGGGGCATTCATGGCCAGAACATGCAGTTGGCCTGTATTCCAGGGTGAGCAGTGGCTGAATTTATACACAGAAGTGGAATTTATACCAGAACATGAGGTGATGCAGAGCCTGAGAATGTACCCAGAGCATCTGCACATCTAGAATCTGGGCTACCAATAGGCCTGGGACTCCTGAATTGAAAGGACTTCATATGCGGGCAACTTCTGGTCTCACCTCAGGAGTTTTTGTTTTCCTCCTAGTACTGTAGGAGCCAGCACTGACAGAAGTCATCTCAGGATCTGCTGGAGGAAGCAGAGAGGGACACCTGAGGGCTGAGGAAGGGAGGACAGACATAGGGAGACCTGCATCTGACTAAAAGAGAGGCCTTTTCTCAACAGACACAGTTGTGCAGTTTTCCGAGGCTTCCTTTACCTGGGACCAGAATTCGGAAGCCACAATTCAAGAGTGAGTTGCCCATTTTCCATCCTGTTCTTTAGGATTCTCTTCACTGGTCCTGTGGCTGAAAAATTCCATGTAATAGAACAGATGGGGAGATGAGCTGTGTGCACATGTTCATTTAGATACGAGTGCAGGCTCAACTCCTGGAGGGATGAGCTGACAGGGAAGAGCCTGAACCTCTTTGCCTATGCCTGCATCTGCCATCCTGCTTTCCTGCCGCGGGACTATGTGAGTTCAACGGAAAACCATGCAGATGTTTGTTTTCCAAATTGTGGATGGAGATAGTGCAGAGTGAGCCGGTGGCCTAGGTTTCTGAAGGTGGTGGAGGATTCACACAAGAACCTGAACTCAATTTAAGTTCATTCATTCATTTATTCATTTAAGAATAATAATCGAGAACATTGGAGTTCTTTCCTCAGAGTGGACAATGGGAGCTGCTTCTATAAGATTCTCTTTCAGATATCTGGAGATTTATATCTAAACAACCCATTCCTACATCCTTCCCTGGAAGCTACCTCCTCTGCCCTAAGCTAACCGCTTCTTGCCACACTGTTGCATGTAATATATTTCTTTTGCTATACATGTAACAGCACACCCAGCTCACCCACTGAGCAGGGTACACAGTGTATTCCAGGAGCCTGAGCATACCTTATTGTCTTCCTGCTACACTTAGGACTTTCCACCCTTCTCTGCTATTTCTATTGCCTTGAACATGGACTCTGGAGCTTGCCCCAGGATGTGTCAGGCCAGAAAGCTCCTCCTCCAAACTCTCCCAATCTGAAAGCCTCTCTTTGCAAAGAGAAAACTGGACATAGCTTCCACTTTGCTAGTATAAATCTAGAACAAGTTCAGTTCAATGGGCAAATTCAAAGACTGTGAACAAGTTCTTGATGTTCCTAATGTTCTAGAAACTCAAACAATAGGGCCGCAACACAGAGTTTCTAGGAGTCTAGCCCACTGTGGGCCCCACCTCAGCCAGACACAGCCAGATGCCCAGGACAGGGGCCAGGGAATCTGTGCTTTCAGCAAGGGCTCCACTGAATGGCTATCCTCACTGAAGAGCCAAGTTTGAGAAACTGATCTAGTCCAACCCCCTTAGTTTAGAAATGAGTCCAGAGGATGTGACCTTCCAAGATCACATAGCTCAGCAGTGACAAAGCTGGGAGTTGAACTCAATTCTCTAGGTACCAGCGTGTTCGATGGTACCATGTTGGTTCTAAGAGGATTTTTTTCAGTGGAAACCCATGTTTGGCACAAATGGCATATATAGATGAGTTGGATATGTTAAGGCTCACTCTCTAGGCTCTTAGAGCTAAACAACAACAACAACATTAAGAAAGCATTTTGGAGTCTTGTATATCCAGGACAAATTCTCCGGTCTTGAAGGAAAATCTCCTAATACCAGACTTTCCATAGCGAGTCTGAGAAGGGGCTTAAACTCCTCTTGAATAACTGCCTTTGTCTCCTTCAAATACACTTTCTCTTTCAGCGTGAACCTGGACGTTAGGCCAGGCCAGTTAGTGGCTGTGGTGGGCACCGTGGGCTCTGGGAAAAGCTCCTTGATGTCAGCCTTGCTGGGAGAAATGGAAAATATCCACGGTCACATCGCCATCAAGGTGAGGGAATGCCG